AATTTGTTCAATGAGTGCCTCTAGTAGATCTGTATGTATATAAGCCATACCAATAAATGCTCTAATACCAGTTAAATGATTTCTGAAAGCATCATCATCGTTGACTGTAATGCTTCCAATATCACAGAACTACACAATAAATTATGAAAAAACAAATATATGATTATTGTTGATATTTAAAATAAATTTACATAGGAAAACATTTGAAGAGTAGTGTCTCTTATTGGTTGATGACATAAAGCAAATAATTGTCCTTGTATTGCAACGACTAGATCATATTCAAAAGAAACATATCGAATGTTTTTTGACATATGTAGTTTTACCTGATTGAATTAAATTCAATGCTTGCTGAACTTCATTGTCAAGTACACCAGTTTCGGCAGCATGATTAACTATATAGAAAGAAAAATGTTTTATTCAAACGAATTTTCTGATAATCAATCTTTTACATCGTGATTTGCTTCCACAAATTACTATAGCTCGATCTAATCTTTCACGTACATCATCAATCAATTGTTTAAAAGTAGGATAACATGTTGATTTTTCTCCAAATAATGTCAAATCAAATTGTAGTGTTAATGGTAATATACTAACAATAAAGAAGTACATCATTTAGTTTACGTGAAAATAATTTCTCTTCTTACATAGTGATCAATTGTCGTATCAATTTAGATGGATGATCAATTAGTTCTTTGGCTCGTTCATAGATGGTACACCAAACAGATGGAATACGCCATTGAAAAACGGCTAAACTTTGAACTAAATACCAACGAGATGCTTCATTGAATGTATTCACCCATGTTTGATTATCAATCAGTCCAAGAAGGAAATTTATTGAATGAAACATTCGACGAGGATCTTGATTTTCCTATTAAATGCAAGAAATATATTTAGAAGAAATCAGTTCAATTCGAACTGAGCGTATAACTAACCAAGCTAAATTGAAAGCAGGAACCCCAATAAACGAATAAATCAGGATTGAGATTGGCACAAACTTCATTGAGAAATGGCGTCAGTTTTTGCCAAAGTTGATCAAGGGCGTCTAATGTCCAATATTTTGAACCACGAATCATACCAGCGACAATTTCAGCTGCTAATTGATGTTCTTGTTTCATTTGAGTCTTTCTACGAATGAGTACAAACAATTGTTCGATAAAATTATCGATTAATGCAAGACCAAAATTACGAAAGAGACTCTAAAAATAAAATTCAATATGTATTATTATTATCATTTCTATCGATTTAACTTACTTTAAACATTGAAAATCGATTTTTGTCGAATCTTTTCGTATTTTCACTACTAACATTGACTTTTATCAATCGAGTTATGAAATTTTTATCTTTAAATCGATCGAAAATGATTGATACTTGTTTTGGCATTTGATTAGAAGTATAACGTTCTCGGCTATTGATTGCATATTTGATTTTCTTTGGCCATTGATAATATCCATAATAAACTTTATTTAAAAAGCATGTTTGTTCCCATTCACTTTGTGTTGTCGGTGGTTCATAATCATTGAATGTTATCCATAAATTATCATCACGTGCGCCTACCTGTCGTTTATCATTGTTGATCTCTACTGATGATTGACCTGCATTGTGTACGATTTCGTCAATTGATTTTTCAACGTATATTCGAGGTGGTTTTTGTAAATGACAAATTGCTGTAACAGTTTTGAATGCATACTAAAGAAAAACAATCAATTAAATTATTTTATTATTTAATCATACTCAACATACCTGTCGTAATTCTGCATTATCATGAATGAGAAAATGAATACATATGTCAATATATGCTGGTGATAGTTTTATTTCTTTTCGAAGAAGTAGACATAGGAATGACATGGCAATCTTTTCTTGTCCCCATGATCTAAAATATACATTGATCAAATACAAAATAATGAGAAATAATTTATATACATACAAAGTTTTATCTCGAAGCAATGAATGAAGTGTATCAATTAAATGATAATATGAGACAAGATTGATTTCACGACGTTGTTTACATATTTGTTTACTAAGTTCTATTTCGTTGATTTCTAATGGATGCCATAGTTCAATCGCTGCACATTCAGCTTGTTGATCAATACTAGGAATGAGTATTTGTGTTGTAAATTCAGCTTCAATCTTTTGTCGAATACGCTCAATTAAATTTAGGATACTAAGTCGATTTGTATGATTTCGACGAATAATTAATGGCAATATATTATTCAACATTGTCCATGAATATCTGTTTAATAAGAAAAAATTTTCATTACCAAGAAGAATATACAGACAACCCTATATTAGATAAAAGAATTAAAAAAAATAGTACAACAAAACGAATGAAATAAAACCTTAATTTGATGATGATTAATAATATCATCGGATGTATTTAGTTGTTCAGTAATACGATCAATAAATATTGTCCATGATGAATTAAAATGTTCCATAAAATGAAACAATTCATCCTGTGCTTTACAACGAATCTTTATAATGAAGAAAAAAAAACAAATTTTAAATAATTGTATTCTATAATTTCCAAAATTGATGATTTACTTCTCGATATCGACTGATCGATAAATCAAATAATTTAAATCCAATTTGTTTGTCAATTTCAGTTAATAAACGAAAATTATTCAATTCAAATTCTTCGATTTTTAATTCGATTTGTTTAATAGTTAAAAATCGTGGAAAATCTCGTCTACCAAGAATTGGATTGTAAACTATTTCTGTTATAGATTGAATTTCTTGACGTTTTTCATCGAGATCACGAGCAAACACTCCATAATACTCGGATGATAGTATACAAATCTATAGAAATTTATAGGAATATATATGATACGATTTGAACACTTACAGAAAGAGCTTCTCGTATTGATATAACATCATTTGGTTGATTTTCAATGAGTTTATCTAAATGTCAAAATAAAAGATATGTATTAATATAAGAGATTGATTTACCAAGTAATTTGCCAATATCGAGAAGTAAACGCATTCGTAAATTTTCATGAAATTCTATTTTCAAATTTTGATAATAGATTGAATATCGACTTTGAGATTGTGAATCGTAAGTTATCATTGAATGAGATCTATATAAATGAGCAAAACTTGACTAATTATCTTCATTGAAAAAATAATTTCTTTCTTACAATTCTTGTATTTCTTTACTTTCAATACGTGGTATGATACGAAAACATCCCAAAGCTATACTATGAAGAATGGTAAGTGATCGTCGTCGTTCATGTTTCGATAATTTCAAATCTGTATTGTTCAACAATGATAATTCTGCATAGAGGAAATCATTGATAAATTCGTAAGCAAAATTGATTTCATCTATATTGGGAATATGATAATGAACTTGAAGTTGATCATGATCAGCATTTTCTCCCCATGTCTAAACAAAATAGAATGCATATTGATTTGTACGTGAAAGATTAGTTGAACTCACTCGAATAGGTAAAGAATTCACAAATGATTCATCGAGATTTTTTATAATTCGCCCATATTCAATTGGATAAATATTTAGAAGTGATTGAAGTAAATGTTTGATTGCAAGAGCAACAGTCTTATAAGAATCAACGTGAAGAATATGAATACAAGTATGAAAGCAAGTTAAAATCATTTCTTTGTACATCAATAAGGTATCACCACAAGCTTGAACAAGTTCAGCAAATAGACATAAATTCCAAGTTAATTCTTGATCACCTTTGTGATCATTCATTATATTTCTTTCAGTTTTATCAAAGAACTTTTCGATGTTTTGACATGTTTGTGGTAATAGATATTTTAGAGTGTCTTCAGGATGACATTTAACAATTGCTCGAACAAGACCAACAACTAATGGTCTTACTTTCAATGTAAAAATTGAACCGGTGACAAAACTGACTATCTTCTCTCGAACAATCTAAACATATACAAACACATTGATCTTTTAAATAAATCATATTTTCAATAGATACACACTCGAAAGATGTTACTACTACACTGATGAACAATACTAGTGATAATTGATATTAATTTCTTTTGAAATATATCATATTCGGTTGGATGTTCATTAATATTTGGTACATCCATATAATCCGTTGATAAACTATCGATTATTTCAAAAACCTCATCAAGAAATCTTGTGACAAAATCTTCAAACATTGCCGTCGATAGACAAACTTCCCTTTCAATCTATACATAAAACAGATACAAGAGAAACATATCACTTTCTATTAAAAATCGAATCTAACATACCTCAGTAAGATCATTTCGTACTTGTAATGCTGATGAACAATCAACACATGTAATAAGCATGAGAATAGTGTCGAGAAAATCTATTGTTACTGATGTTTTATCAATATCATTGAAATCAATACCGGGTAATACAGACAATAGTAATGGTACAACATAAGTTTGTCCATGAGAATACGAATGTGTCTGTCGTACTAATTGACGACTTATACGTGTTACACAAAACATCAACGATGTAAAACGATGTGCTTCAACGATATCATCAATTGATGTGAAGAGCCTAGAGATGAAAACAAAAAACTGAGTTAAAACTCATGAAAAGAATTCAAATAATTACTTACTTGTCAACAATGGATGGTACGATTAATTCTGGTCGTAGTATAGACAGAAATTGACAAACTTCAGCTGCTTTTTCCGAATAGTCTTTATTAAATATGGACATAAATGCATATTCTTTGATACAATTAACAAAATCTGTAATATCCTGTTCAGTGAGTCGATGCGATTGAGGAGGTACAAAGAACCAGATCGAACGAGTTTGACGTTCTCTAAAATATTTCATAGTCGTTAATCGTTCACATATCTTACATTGATGTTCGTTGTACTTACAAATGAACTCGATTAACAAATTGTAGAGTAAGATTAAAAAGAAATTCGACAAGTTGTTTTTGAAAATATCCTGTATTTGATGGATAATAAAAACTTCGAATAGCCATGAGTAGATCTTGTAAATGTTGAAGACATAAATTTCCATTACCAATCATGGCAACAATCCATTGTGTAACATCTGCCATTGGATAGATAAATTTCTTGGTCGTTTTTTGTGCTTGACCAATCGGCAATGAAAAACCTCGTAGAAAGTGTGTAAAAATCTATCATAAATATCAATTTGAATTATAGAAAAAAAACCGAAGTATGTACGAGAAAATGATAAAACCTTATTTAACCATTGAGTCCAATCAATGTAGCCTATATTGTACCAAGCCAGTTGAGAAAAAATATTTACCAAATACTAAAATGAATCATTCAAAATTGTTGACATCGTGTTTTTTTTTCGAAATTTCACTTACTAATTCCCAAACAGTTTCATTATTAATATTCTCCCAAATATCAAAAAATTCTGAAAACCATAATCTAAAAAGAATGACAATTATATTGTATACAACGAAGAAATAAACAATCACACTTAAATCCTTGTTCGTGTAAATGTGGTGGTAGATGAAGGGGTAGAAAATAATCAAATATTTGCATTGCATTACACATAGAAGTTAGATCGGAAGGATATAATTGTGGGCGAATTTCATCAAGAATTTCTTGAGTAGCCGTAGATGAAAAGTATGGTGACGCACATTGTGTACATTTAACAATTGATAATTCAAAATCCCTTCAATATCGAAAAAAAAATAACATAAGAGTGTAAAGGATTTTTTTAATTAATATTATTACGAACTTGGGTATTTTCACCATGAAATAACTTTTTAGTTGATAATCTTTAGCAACTTTTAACCATCGATAGAATATTTGCCAGTCAATAGTTAGATCATTTCGTTGAATCAATTCAATATGTCTGAAAAATATTCTCGAAAAATGTAGAGAAATTTTATAGATAAATATAAATACGTACTTTAACAGATCCATAAGCAATTCAAAACAGATTTGTGCAACTGAATAGCTTATATCAGTTGTAGAGATGATAGATAAATAGAATTTGATAAGTTTGACATGGTTGATTTTAGTAAAATAGAATCCATAGAGTGACATGAATTCTTTCAATTTTCTTGTCCATAGAGTAAAACCTGGTTGAAATTCACTAACTTGAATTGTACGTGATAGATTCTTTCGAATTTCTTCGAAAGAAGCATGTGCTTGCTTTGGAATTAATTCGGAATGTGGTAAATAATCAAGATAGATATTAGGTTTTTGCAGACTATCATTATCATCGATATCTGTACTTCGTTCCAGAATAAGTGAAGAATTATTCATTTTTATTGTGCTAAAAATAATGATTTAGAACGATATAAGGATATGATAGTGTATATCTTTATAATACTCACCATTTAAAAAATGAGAATGTTAAAAAAATTAGAAATGCGTTTCGTATATATCTACTGTCGACTATATGACTCATCCATCATTAAAAGACAGTAACTTGCGTGTATTTTTTTTCTATCAACGATTAGCTTCTTCGTCATAACGAACAAAATACGTCATTGCTTCTATTCTGTGTTTGTGCGATGTTAATTTATTTCGTTTCAATATATCCATTTTTATCCACATGTGCGTCACATTGGTTCTATAAATACATACTCATATAATTATCATTATATAATAGTGCGTTTTTATATTATGAATCTATTAAAAGCTGATTTATTTCGTATATAACTAAAGATAGAATATTGTTGCATTTACATCATCAATATTGCCTTTATAGAATATATTCTAAATAAAATATAAGAAAACAATTTTATTTTTTCAAATCAATTAATAAATTGAATCAGTGGTTCAGATAAATAGTTAGTAGTAATTTTCAATCATTTTATGTCATATTTGAATAGCAAAATGTTTTAGAATATGTTTGTCCAATCAACAACATACAAATTACCTTTAGTATTAAATGATAATACTTCGGGCCAATTGAGTTGATTTGCTTGTCATTCATACTCACACCCTCATACTACATACATTAATGTTTTTGGAAGCAAATATAATCTATTAAAGTCTATAATATACACGAAATGCTAGTCCAACAATAAATTAATACATGAACATGTTTTTCGGTTTGTAAAAGACTATAGGCTGTTAAGAAAGTTTATAATTAGGAATATTGAAATTTGATTAGATGGTATCAGAAAAATAATTTCTTCTAACAAACAGATCTGATTTCGTTTTTTGAATCTGAATCATTCGTTCAAAATCTTCATCAATATTATTATGACTAAATAGTTCCAATCCATGATAAAAAGAATCTATCTGTTTAATACAAGTAAGATTTAACAAACGACGAATAATATCACAAACAACTTGGGATTGATTAAAATCATCTTCGGGCGGCAAATTATTAAGAGTAGATAAAATTTGTTGGTGTACTTCTAACGAGGATACAATTCCAACTTCAACTAGCTGAACAAGTAAACTGAATATAGAGGTAAAAAAATCGGATTTAATATTGTACCAATTCAAATCGAGCTGTTCAAACAACTTGTTAACAACGTCTCTATCCGAGACTTGTTTCATGCCTTTAAAATATTGACACATTGAATTATTAAATGGCACGTTATTGACCCATGTCAACATCTCAATATATTCGACTGTAACTATACCAAACATACCGTAAAGGCTTATTATTGCTTCAGGATTTCTCGGTCTCTTCATGTAATATAAATAAAGTTGTTTTTTAAACTTATCCTCGCCGAAGTTGCTTCTAGAAATAGCATTATGAAACGAACTGAAATCTTTTTTAATGAACTTCGTCGTTATGTTAATATAATTAGATGCAGGATCAAGAAGATAATTGCTACTACATTTATTGTTTAAATAATTGTATAGTTCCAAAATAAACTTGTCGAGAAGTTCGGCAGAATGTATTTGTATATGATGAACAATTTTCTCTGCATTGTCATCAGATAAGTAAGAACTCCATGGATATAATGTTTGCTGTAACAGTAAGTGATACTTGTTTTCAGGCGTTAAATTACAGTTTTTGTTCCTCAACCAGTTTGATATAGTGTCGGATGTGAAAGACGATTGTTCTGCGATGATTAAACAGAACGCAGCTCTAATAGAAACAGTCGTTGTTAATGATATCTGGGAAAGATCAATGAATATATTCTTTAATTCGTTCGAAAGATTATAATTTATTTGCAACTTCTGTAACTGAAGAAGATAATTACCATAAGCCAATAAACAAATAGCTAGAATATCGTTTGAATACTTATAATAAGAATAAATGATTTTTTCCAAACTGATAACTGCATTATTTATCAAGGGAACATACTCTTTTAATGTCTTGAAATGATTTATGAACAGTGAATTGAGACTATTAAGGACTGTTTTCTGAATTTGAGGAGATTGTTGGTCATGAAGAAATGTAAAACTAAATTCGTACGTTTCTTGTAAAAAATTTTCTTCCATATTATTTCTAATTCCATTCTGAATAGTCCATTTGACAAGAACGGCGACATATTCTATCTTAGAAGTATATCGAACTTCATTTTGTCTATTAGTAAATTTATGAAGATGCTGTACAAGATAACGTTGCAAATCATGTGAACTAAAATCGATCATTGATAAAAATGGATTCGTTAAGAATTCAGATGATCTATACGTATTGAGGATGATTCGTTCAAATTCCAAACAAAGAATTAATTGAAGAGTTTCTTTGCGATTAATACAGACATGAATTTTCAAAGAATAATGAGTATTTTGGTTTAATAGAATCAAGATTTGACAAAGAATAGTTGTATCGATTAGTTCTGACTTGCACAAACGTTGTACAAGAGGTATGAAACGATATTTTTTGTCAAGGTTACATATTTCGGTAACATCATTAATCAAATTAGGAATATTTGAACCTTCAATGAGCAACTGCAACACAGCATAGTGTGCGAAAAATGTCAAATATTTATCTGTTCGATAACCAAGCCATTTCTCAATTACTGATAAAGCATTTCTTTCGATCATCAAGCATTGAGATACATCTTCGATGATGGTGTGCATGTCTCCTTTATTTGACGTTTGCAAATAGGTCGTAATCCATGTTGCCATTTTAGAAGTCATTCGATTTCGACCAGCTGATGATATATTCAATAATTGCTTCCACTGTTTCATAGACCACATTTTATCTTTACAATTATTCTCAATATCCATCTGTAAATTTCGAGCATCGAAAGCTAACTCAGTTATATACATAATCGATAGGAGAACAGAATTTTCTGTATCATATGTTCTATTAGTAAAGTATCGAAACAATACGGATGAATTGAATTGAAGAAGATCAGACAAGTTCGCTGTTGTGCGTATAACGAACTCTGATAAATAATGTGAAAGATCTGGGTTATTCAATTGCTGTAATGCAATAAATACTGCTTCTTGAGCTTGACTTCCTTCGTTCACAGCAGTTTCACTTAATTTTCTGCCGATTACATTAGCCATCTGACGAAATGGCTCTTGCAAGACTTGCCGCGCTGTGTAACATCGAATAAACAAAAGAGTCGACGTTAGTAATGAAAGATCTGGTAAAATAGACTGTAAAAAAGTAATCATTTCTAGTTGTAATGCATCTGTTTGGATTTCATCAAAGATCATAGGTTTTCTCATATCTAATATCATGCTCAAAGCGATAATTCGTAGAATTGGATTATATATATTCATTACTGCTAAACGCACTTCTTCACTCTCAGCGATCGAGAGAGTCATGTGTCCACTAAATTGATTTACACGAGATCGAAGAATTTGAGCGAGAGAGATCGATGCGGCAAAGAATTGCAAATCTTTCTTTTGCTTTTCCGGAATAGTTGATGCATTATAAAAGCGTTGGCGTTCGATTTTGATGTATATATCATAGTCTTCTAACTGATTAACAGGGAACTCATAATGTAACATTATGGCGTAATTCTCCAACATGTATTGTTTAAGTTCTGATTGTAACATTGATGAAGCAAGATCAAAGTTTCGATCATAATTACGGATATTTTCTAAGAACATCAAGCATTGTGATAATAATACAACCAAAAACGACGAACCAGTTTCATTATCTGCATTAATAATCAACCAATAGTAAAGTTGTTGCAAAGATTGTGGTACAAACGTAAGCAAAAAAAATGGTTCTTGTCGGAACATTTGCATAGGATGAATATTATTAGTATTCGAATATTTTTTGTTCCTAGCAGAGCGGCTTACCTCTAGATGATATTTTAAATATTCACTGGCATTGTTGGTAAGGTGTAAGTCGAATGGCAAGGGATCGAATGGACATTCAATGCAAAGTTTATTTAATGTAGCTAAACATGCTAATGAAAACTCTATGCGTTCCCCATCAGATAGAGAACTTTGTGAAAGAAATGCCTTTATAATTGATTGAACATCAGATTTTATAATCGAAGATGTGTCGACAGTATCATATTTCAAATCTTTAATTTGGAATGGTTGTTTTAAGTAAAACCAAGTTCTTTTTAATCTATCAAGTGCAAGTGATAGTGCTTCATATCGACGATATCTTAGATACGTGAATGATTTCGAAAGTCCTTTCAGACAGAGTAATGCAGTTAAAGTGTCAACAATATCAATCGAAGTATCTGATGGTGAAGCGTTTTCAAGAACACTTTCATATTGTTCGATTAATATTTGAAGTCTGGTTGAATGAGATTCTTTATTATTAATAAAGTATTCGATGATTGGTGGTATAATTGATGATGTACGATGCATATGTTTAGGCGAAAAATGAATTTTTACTAAATAGTTTTTAGAATCAAAATCTATTCCACCACATACCAATATAATTAGAGAAAGTATCAGTGGATGAATATTAGATCCACAAATATTGTTTGAGAAAAAATACGAAGATAGTTCGTTATTCAAAATCTCATTAGGTACATTTTCCGAACGTATTGTTTTTCGAAAAATTTGATCAATAATGAATTCGCTTGATGGATTTACGTTATAAAATGACAACAGTTGTTGATAGATTAATAATATTTTTGATTTTGAATTCATGTTATGTATATTAGAGGATCGACTAATTGTTCTATATAAACATTTACAAAAGTTTGAAAGACGTTTTTCATCGTTCAAATGTAATTGCATCCATTCTATTATAATATTTTCCTGTAATGTAAGTAAATTTTGTATAAAATATACACCTGCAATGATATTATGACGGTAATCTAACAAACTATTAAGTGCAGTAAAAATGACTGAATTTGAAGGTAACCTTTGCATGTCATTAATAGCATCGAATAAAAGTAGTGTTCCATATGGAATTGCATAATCTCTATTTGAAGTAATTAATAAATTACAGAATCGATCATAATCACTCAATGACCATTTCCAACTGATCCAACCAAGACTCATCAGAAGTGACTCACGAAAACGAGGATTGATAAGGAGTGTACGAACACGTCCTACTACGTCTTCTATGGATGAATAATCTTTTATAATACATTGTGATACAAAATATTCTTGAAACGGTAAATGGAGAAAACCATATATTTGTAAACCTTGTTCATCAACGATACCGTTGTTAGACTTTAACAAAGTGATCAGTTTATTAGCCATTTCATTTAATTGTTTACGGTTGTTCGAAAATTTTTGTTGGCGTAAAGTCAAGCAGCAGAGATGTTCCATATCAAATGCATCTATGAGACCAGATGGCGATTGCAAATGAAGATAAGTGGCTAGATTTACGAGAAATTTAATTAATAAGTTTTTTAGAATGTCTGATTCTTTACATTTCCGTTCATCAAATGCTGCTTGAACAGCATAAGTGTATACTTGTACTCGAGATTTGAATTGAATTTCATCAGGTGATTGAAAAATAAGTGTGCATATCAATGATAATAATGAAGGATTTGATACTAATAATTCTGAACTATTCTCAAATAGTTTCTGTACAGTATTTTCTCTCTTTTTAGAGGCATTTTCTATTTTTTCTCCATCAATTTTAATTCCTTCATTTCTCAAAACATCGCTTATGCTTTGCTTAACTTGAATCATCCATTTGTTTACAAATTCTTTTCCATGTTCATGATCTATCAGAGATAATAAATAATGACGGATGAATGAACCATTAAGCGGATAAACATGGTAGCCGACAATACGACTTGTGACAACTACTTGATTACCATAGCATATACTTGGTGGCTGCGTTTCAATGAGATCCATATAATTATATTCCGATGAATTATTAAAGAGTGGCTCATCTAACGTGGATATAAAATCAGATCCCACTACATATTCATCGATGAATTTTTGAACAAGATTTACAATAGTTTTTCTTTGTCCAACTTCGAGAATCTCATCTAGTCCATCGATGAGAATTATAGCGTAACCATGTGCTATCAATTTTTTCAGAACAATTCCACTGTCATCGCGAGTATAAGGTTGAGAAAACCACGTGTGTTTCCCAATATAATCCATTAACGTTTTGTTTCGATGCTGCTCAAGCCATATTGTAAACTCTCCGATTCGAATCAAAATTGGAATGCGAACCAGAGTATGATTTTGTCCTTCTAGAGTTACCTGTTCTTTATGAGAATAAGCTGTTTCAGCAAAGAACCATGTGATCCATCTGAGAAGACTAGTTTTAGCACTTCCTGGATCACCTAAAATAACGAGCCACCGTTCAGATTGCAACACTTTTAAAAATGTTGTCGAGCTGCCAAATTGATTGAATCGTGATTCGGCAGAAGGTATAAAGTTACTGAATTCGCTATTAGTTCTTTCGTGTGAGTCAGCATATTTACGCATTTCATCATTTATGTTTTCTAAGAATCTACTGGAGCAATCGAGTGGTATCGCAATACAATTTAATTTTTCTTCCAAGTTTCTTCGATTAGTTCGTATAGACGAACGTTCTATTAATCCATAACCATCATAAAGAAAACTATCTAAATCTTTTACCAAACCTTGCACATGTATTTTTGAATGAAATAGAATACAGTTGTGAAGATATTCTTCGAAGAATGTTTGATATTCACGAAACAGCTCTTTTAAAGGCTTTTGCTCTCCAAAAGTCTGTTTGAATTTACGTTCACGTTGTACTAATTTTTCTTCCAAACTCATCCTTTCAAGAAAATGTGTTTTAGTATTACCTGTACGTTGTCCATCATTTTGCATTTCTATTACATAAATAATATCGTCGGACAAACTAATCCAAAATTGCTGTGGCAATGATTTATTACAATCCATTAATCGATCTAACTGTCGGCAAAATAATTGAGTCATACCATTTATAGGTGAATCTGAATCAAGTAGCTGTTTAAAAAGAATTTGAGCCTTGTTCAATTCCGAACTTTCAATATTTTCATATTCTGACAAGTCTTTCATCAATTCATCGATCGAGTGCAGTGCACGTGTAACAGTTTTCTCCATGAATCGTTTGGCAATAGATAGTTATAAAGCAGGACACTGGCACCGCGAAATTTAATATATTATGTGAAGACAAAAAATACAATTACGTTAAATAAAAAAAATATTGTTAAGACAATATTTTAATTTGATTTACTGGTGGTTGTTGGACACTATTATAATGCTCGATAATAGTGAATGTTACTATACGTTACGAGTATTTCTTTTTTTACACAAGTCTAGCTACGGCATTGATGTTGGCGGGCGACAGAATGAAAAGAAAAATACCGCAAAATAAATAAAAAGAAACACAGTTAAATAAAGAAAAAGAAAAATCCGGTGAAGGAAAGAAAAAGAAAAAGAGAACGAAAGAAAGAAAAGAAATAAATTATATTGTCACCAATTGATATGCAAAATACAGCTACTGTCACAATCACTATCATTTTCATTTTGTTCTGTATTATTACACTAAGAAGTGCTTATGAACAACACTAAACACACTTGCAATTGTTGGGTATGGGTGTGCGTGTGAATGAAGGAGAAACACTCACGCCTACCCAAAGCCACACCCCACACCCATCCACCGGTACCTTTTTCTGATGCCTTATTGATTAATTTGCCGATTCATTGTCATTCTCGTTATCAATCAAACAACAAATCGACAGCTATCAGATTATCAGTCATCTCGATTTAGAACAGATATTGAACTTCGTCATGAGCATCAGTACCGGGTACTAAAAGATTTTCATTGTCATATTTTAGCTTGTAATCACAGAGCCAAGTTAGTTTATATTAACTCACATAAAAGCACGCTTGAGTTCAGTGTCAAAATAAACAAGACTTTATGCAGAGCTGCATTCTTCTAATTCAATTTCTGTGACGGGGCATATGCTTCCTTTCTGTATCACTTGCACAACGCGTTGGTCTTTGATTTGAAATACTGTGAACGGGACAATCAGCACTTCTTCTTCATCTGGAATCTGACTGATTGTTTCTATTGAAAGACTTGATCGTGAATTAATCACCTTATAAATGCATATGACTGGCGGATGAGTGGCGTCACATTCACAATCAAGAAATAACTCGGCAATAGATCGATTCTTCGATGTTGATAGAAATGAACGAGTCATAATAATGTTTCCGCGATTGTACTCTTCGAGATCTTTTCTTGTAATCTTCATTCCACGAAAAGTAATACCAGCACAGAAGTATGAACGAAAACGAGGATGATTAATGACGAGTGAAGCAAATATATATTGCCCAATGTCCTTTGGTGGTTCATTATCAGCGTATCCTGATTTGATCAGAGCGTGACTACTAACAAATCGAAAGTCTGAACCTAACTCAGCTAAATCATGGTTAAGCAAATAATGAAATTGAACTTTCGGAGTGGTGTATGCTTGCAATAAACCTAGAGGATCCTCTAGTTCTGCTGCATAAGACAGATAGGTTTTGATTGTTTCTCTATGACTTTCATCTTTGAAATTCATTTGGTCTACATACTCATTGCAAATGGCATCAAGTAATTTTTGAAGCGGAACTTTGGTCAACCACCGTTTCATGTGCTCATGATTTTCGTAAGAAATTCGGTAAGCATTCTTATAAGAATCAAGCCACTCTATTTCGCGTGACGAAGCAACAAAATGTTTGAAGTCTGATATAGTTCGTACAGGAGTGTTAAAAGCTGCTTTAATCTCTTCAGTGGTTGCTAGCTCCTCGGCCGTATAACCTTCATCATTACGGATCGTGCGCGAAGCATGGTAACGTAGTAACAGTCGAACGAGTTTAACATAATTACGCATTGAAGCAATGTGAAGAGCTGTATTTCCAACGGGTCCAATAGTATCGATTTCAGAGCGATTAACAGTCTGTTGAACTTTCTCGAGGTCATTTTTGCAACAAGCCAAATAGAAATCATTTACCGTTGATAACACTGGAGATAGCATTTTCCACTTTAATTGATAAACGAATCACTAGACAGTATTACTGAAAAAGGAATTTCTACAATAATAAATACTGATGTCACAAAATTTTTGTTTTTCTGCCTCTAATTTCTATCTGTTGCGTGTTATAAATACCCGTATACCATTCAATAGCGCTGAGCAGTCTTATCGAACTACATATATCGATAACACATCACTTTTATCGCCAGATATATATCTTCATCTAAATAAAAAAACTTCGATTGTTTCATTTCTAAGCGAAATGGTCAGGCGCATCTATTCAGTATTCCAAATGTTTTATAGCTTGGCCAACGCTCATTCGAAAAAGCAGGATGATATTCTACTAGCATCAGCAGTGCTCTGCAATCTGGTAAGTTTTCGGAATAAAACCAACCACTTTGAGGGTGTGAGACCATCTTGAGAGACATGGATGTAGGTCTTTCTTATACTCACACTCACCGTCAACTATACTATTCCAAGAATTGAAAGGAATTTTTTTTGTTGGCAACAGTATATAAGAACACGATTTTAACAGAGTAAGTCGTTCTCTTCATCTTTCTATTAGCATGTTCGAATATTAAAATTGATTCTACTTACCTGGTATACTTTTCAATAAATATAACCGTTTATTAAATATATAAGAGTGTTGATTAGAAAGAATACTCAATTTTTATGTCGATTTGAGAGGAAAATTGTGCACAAAATAAAAATAACTTCACTGGCATGCGTGCCAACTTTTTTTTTCTTTCGGTTCTCTTTTATATATAACTACTTCATACAATCAACACCGCAGTCATTTTCTTACCCGACTATATTTTATTTCATTAAAAAAGTTTCTTTCCTTTCTTCTAGTTTACACAACATACTCTACTGTTTTTTTTCTCTCTAAAAAATTGATGGATTCTCGACGCACGGCTCGTGCTTGAATGAAAACTACTTTTGCCTTTTACGATAGAGAAATAACGACAATAACAAACAAGTAAAAGATCACTTAGACAATGCTATTACAACTATTGAAAAGATAATGAATCAGCAGCGAAAAATATCAATGGAAAGTATTCTACTATCAAATATGACGTTAGATTTTGGTCTCAATACATTATCATTTAATGTTAATGAAAGTCAAACTATGAAATAATTAACAAAAGAGATGGGAATGATATTTAACCAATATCTGTTTTGGCGTACTTGAATGGCAATCAACAAAAGTGCATATCGAATTTTCTTTTGTACTATCAATATGATCGTAAATAACGAAGATTTAAAAATACTCTCAGTATAAATATTCTTCCACCATTCCTCAATGATTTCGAAGGGATCGAGATTCACTGAATGCTTTTTCAGCAGCATGGAATGGAATTATACCTATAGTAGAATCATTTCTCACGAAATATCCAACATTCAAAGATAAACCAGGTCCGTTAGGTACAATCTTACTATATTCAGCAGCTAGGAAGAATCACATATGTTTAGTTGAATATCTCGTGCCCGAAGCAGGTGGGTGTGGGTATGGGCGAGAGTAGTATAATTTGTCACAGCCACCCACGAACATAACTACATTGATCAAAATAGGAGTGAAGAGAGTTGTTTGGAGTAACTATCTGAAAGTTAAAATGACTTGATGATACGGGTGTAGACATAGGAGAGCGAAGAATACAATATCCATAACCACAATCCACCCGTGGTTAATTATCAATAATACAAATGCATTTTAACAAGTAGTCTTACATTTAGAATACGATTAAATAAAACATTTGAGATATTTTTAACTATGTTTCAATTTTTTTCTAACTATCAAGAGAATCTTTATTTTTTTTAATATCACGTTTTCAAGAAAAAATAATGTTACATAAAAAACATAATTGGCAATGTTGAATTTGGTTTTGTTTTTATTTAGAATTTTGTTATTTTAATTGGCAATATTATCGATTGAACTTTTAAGTTCTCCGTGTTTGATCAAGAACTCCTGTTTATATAATTCGTCGCTAGTTAATCTGAATAAAACTTAGTTTTGTTTTTAACCGATAAAGAATTTATCTTGCTGATCAAAGAATAATTTTATTGATTCAACTGTATTAATTGATAAATCATTAGATAAATCAAGAATGGATTTGATAATTAATCCATTAAAAATCATCAGTTCGGCAAATATATATTCCTAAAATTATTACTTTGTTGTGTTGAATAGATTACAAACAAAAAATATACTCTTACATCTTTGATATGTGAAATTATGCATTTAGCATGAATATATTCGAAAGTTGATGCATTTATAGTTTCTGGAAACTCTTCTAGATATTTTTGTGTGATGTTGTACGATCGATTGCCGACTTTCGAATATTCTTTCATACTCCTCATATTGTCTTTAATGAACTTTTTTCTAAAAAGAAATCAAGTGAAAGAATTCAAATTATGGCTATTCATATATACTTTTTCTTTTTTTCTTATTCATTATGATGAACAGAAAATATATTATATATTTCAACTTCTTCATCATCTGATTCTTCATAATTATCAAAAGCTAGAAAAGAATATCTCATTTGATGGATAATAAATGTGTTTTACTCACAAGCTTGGTTGAGTAGTGAAGCATATACTTCTTCTGAAGCTACATTGACAAATTCAGCAATAATATTTTGCTTTGAAATTTCATTAGGATTATTTTCACCACCCTGACTCATATTTTCTTCTTGTGGTTCTTCTAAGCAACGACCAAAATTCAGCTAAAACAAATTATTTGATTAATTTTAATAGTCTTGAAGAATTTATAATGTTTTACTTTTGAAAATAGCACCCGGGACGATCATTCCGACCATCGGAAAGGGCGTCTTAAACGGCCTGAAACAATTATAAAACGGTATATTATTGATGGATAATTTTGAGCTGAAGTAAGTAAATAATAACTTGAAATAAATGCAGTTGAAAGACGAGAATGGAGACGAAATTGATTATTTATTCATGACTTTTCGATTCTTTTCTAGAATCATCATCCGACGTATAATAGAATATAATTGGTATATGTTGTTATAGATTATAATGTATAATATAGTGATACTTGGAATATTGATTTGACATAATTATATTTGTATTTATATATTTTGAATAGATTTTGAAGGTTTATCCTAAGTGTTATAAGTGTGATTTGCAGTTTTATGAGAGATTGCTAAGTGATTCGATTCTTGAACTAAAAAGAAATGTTTATTACACATTCGACGTAAGAAGACCTATTCAATAAAGGACTTGTGGATGCAAATATGGCGTTATTTGCTTGTTGTGGCGTGAGCAGCAATAGATATGCAGTTGTATGACCCTTAAAGGTTTTAGGAGTTGTCCGAGATCGTGTCATTTTAAATGAATAGTTTTTTCATATAATCATGATTCCGGGTGATCCCAAGCATATCCCAGCTAGGTTCTACTATTATAATTGTTGAATACAGTTTGAGAAGAGGATCAATTTTTTTCATAACATTAATTTTTCTGATTGCTCGGGAATATTAAGGTTACTTTGCTCAGATTATTTTGAAAGTGTAAGAATTCTCTAATATGAAGCATCACAACTCCTTAATCTCTTTGACTTAGGTCAGTTTTTTCAAAAAATGAGGTGTACGGCTGCGACTGATCGTTTATTTCTCGAATTAAAAATAAACCATGCTCGATTAGGATTTTATGATGAGTAGAACCTGTCTGGGCTCCCTTTATTGACATGTATTCAAAATCAAGATTATTTCTAATGATAATCATAGAAAATTTTCTTTCAGAAAAGGGTCATCGAATCCATTAGATGAGCGTTACTTGTTTTATATAAGATTTATAAATATCATGTTAAGAAAGAAATTTGACAAATAAGGATATTAATATAATATCATAAAGAAAAGTGATAAAACAATATTCCTTCTTTTTTCATTCTTAGATTAAGATATTCGAATAAATAAATATCTAATAATACATAAAATATTATCAATAGAATTCTTTTTTATAATTTATAATAATATTTTATTAGAAAAAGATTTTTTTATTTCAAATATTGAATCTTGTTTTTATTTAGAATTTTGTTATTTTAATTGGCGATGGTATCGACTGAATTTTTAAGTTCTTCGTGTTTGACCAAGGAATTCTATTTATATAATTCGTCGCTAATTAATCTGAATAAAACTTAGTTTTTGTTTTTAATCGACAAAGAATTTATCTTACTGATTAAAAAATACTTCAATTGATTGAATAATATCTAATTGCAAGTCTGTATTTAATCGAAGAACGAACTGAATAGTTAATGCATTTTCACTCAGTAATTCGACTAGCTGGTATTCCTAAAAATATTATATTTCTTTTGTTGAATAGATTACATACAAAAAATATACTCTTACATCTTTCGTTTGTAAAATGATGCATCTAGTATAAATGTAGTCAAATGTTGATGCATGAATAATTTCTAAAGATGTTTCCAGATAGTTTTGTAATGATGATTTATTATTTATTTTCGAATAATTTTTTAAGTTTGTCATATTTTGTTTGCGAAATTTCTTCTAAAAAGAAATCAAGTGAAAGAATTTGAGTTATGACTACTCATATATACTTTTTTTTCTTTCGCTAGTTCATTTTGATTTAACGAGAACATTTCTCATATATCTCCTCTTCGTCTTCTGATTCTTCATAGTTTTGAAAAGCTGGAAAAGAATATCTCATTTGATGCATAATAAATATATTTTACTCACAAGCTTGGTTGAGTAGTGAAGCATATACTTCTTCTGAAGCGTCATTCACAAATTTAGAAATAATAGTTTGTTTTGCCGTTTCATTAAAATTATTTTCATCACCCTCACTCATATTTGCTTCTTCCAAGCAACGACCAAAATTCAGCTAAAACAAATTGCTTGTTCATTTGTAATAGTTTTGAAAGTGGTACCCAGGACGATCTTTCCGGCCACCGGAAACGGCGTCTTAAACGGCCTGAAACAATTATAAACCGGTATATTACTAAATTAATTCTCACCCTATTTTGTCGT